TTTCTTAAAGGCTGCCTCGACATATGACCTCGAAATAAACCGGGAAAAATCAGAGTTTTCACTTTGTTCTATTAACGTGCTTGGATATCAAATTTGTAACGGAACTATCCAACCCGATCCTGAGCGTTTGAAGCCACTTTTACAAATGCCTCCTCCTCCCGACTCAAATTCGTTAAAAAGGTGTCTTGGTATGTTTGCTTACTATGCGAAATGGATACCTAAATATTCACACAAAATTCGTCCACTGGTCGAATAAAACAATTCCCTACGCCTCCTATAGTTATAAATTCTTTCGAAAAACTTAAGAAAGACATTGCCGAGTCATCTGTAAAAGTTATTGATGATGAATTGCCATTTACTATTGAAACCGATGCCTCAGAAAAGGCTATTGGAGGCACTCTTTTACAAGCTGAGCGACCTGTAGCATTCTTTTCTCGGTCGCTAAACCCCTCTGAAATCGACTTCACATAGTCGAAAAAAGAAGCATATGCTATAGTCGAATGCGTTCGTAAATGGAGAGACCTCCTTGCCGGTAAACATTTTACTATTATTACTGATCAACAAGCCGTATCTTTTTATTTTTAAACCTGCTAATCGCGGAAAAATTAAAAACGATAAAATTATAAGGTGGAAAATGGAACTTCTTCCCTTTTCATACGACATAAAAACACCGTCCTGGAAATGAAAACACAGTTGCGGATACCTTATCCAGAGTATGTGGTGCTGCTGCTTCTTCCTTGAAGGAACTTAAATCGATACACGATTCCTTAATACATCCTGGGGTACAGCGCTTTTGGCATTTTGTAAGGTCTCAGAATATGCCGTATTCGCTTGATGAAGTCCGACGTGTGACTTCTGAATGTACGACCTGTGCCAAAATAAAACCCCAATTCTTCGATTCTACTAGTAATGTTCTGATCCGTTCTACTGCGCCATTTCAGCGTCTCTCCATAGACTACAAAGGGCCTGTCCCGGTATCCCCGACAGGTTACCGATATATACTTACTGTCATCGACGAATATAGTCGATTTCCTTTTGCCTTTCCTTGCCGCGATTGCTCTTCGCAAACTTCTATTCAGTGCCTGACAAGTATTTTCTCCATTTTCGGGCTTCCTTCGTTCATTCACTCCGATCGAGGAACTTTGTTTATGTCAGGAGAATTTAAACAATTTCTAACACGACTTGGAATTGGATTCAGTAATACTACTGCTTATAACCCTAGAGGCAATAGCCAATGTGAACGTTACAACGGCATAATTTGGAATACCATATTATTGGCCCTGGAATCGAAACAGTTACCAATTAGTGCTTGGCAGGATGTTCTACATGATGTGTTAAATGCTATCCGCTCTCTACTATGTACCACTACGAATGCAACCCCCCACGAACGAATGTTCAATTTTGAAAGGCGGTCCTCCACCGGTACTGCGTTGCCTGTTTGGCTCTGTGAGCCTGGGGAGGTATTATTAAAACGATTCGATGGCAGAAGTAAATATGACCCTATCGTTGAGGTGGTGGAACTCCTTGAGGCCAATCCTACGCATGCCAAAATACGTCACAATGATGGCCGGGAAGATTCGGTGGCGCTGAGACGGTTGGCACGTTTTCCACGCCCGGATGGACCTCAAAATGGACCTGAAAATACTCAACCCGACGTGGACCACGCAGATTCAACCCTTTTGCCTGATGCAGGTCCCGTTAATATTTCTTCACCTTCCACGGAAAATGAATCTGTGAATAATAGCCAGAATCCTGAAAGTCAGCCTTCTCAGAGGTCTGGCTCTTCCAGTGGTGAACTACCTCACGCCGGTCTAGCAGGATTCGTAGACCAATCCAACGACTGGATTTATAAAACCTATTCAATTACGATCTCTTTTGCAAGTGGGGAGAATGTTATATTTTCGAAAATAAAAAAGAAAAAAAAAAGGAAACTATCTTTACTGTCCACGTCAAATAGGAAACTATCTTTACTGTCCACGTGACTTTTTCACACGTCCCCATTCCTCTTTAAAAGCTGCGTTCTTCTTCCTTTGTGGATTGCTGCTGTGAATTAAGTTCAGTAAAGCCTTAGTGAAAGGTTACTAGCTTTCTTCTCTGAGCAACGTAACACTCTTTCTAGTATTAATGGGGGTTTCCTTCATAACCTTTTGTTTGAAGTAGTGTGGAACATCTTGATTATGTTCCACGAGGTTCAAAGAAGGATGGTCATTGCTAAAACTTACAGGTTTTATTCACTTGTTGTAGGCCAGTGTGTTTAGGTAGAAATATTGTTCCTGGAATAGTTACCCTGCAACAATTATTGCCAAACTCAATGTAAGTCCAGGTAAAATATGAGTAACACAAAACAAATGACAATGCATGTATTAACTCAATGAATTACATGTGATGAAAGGAAAAAATCATGAAACTAGCTATAATAAGAAGATTCTTGTTTATGTATGTGTGCATAACAACCATGTATGAAAAAGTACAAAATTCAAGAGAGAAAAAAAAAACCATGAAATGAACATGCTCTAGTGGGGGAAACTCTACTCATGTGCAACTACATTTTGAAACCAGAGTTGAAAAGAGGCTAGGGAGAGTGGCAACCATTTTTTTTTTTTTTTTTTTAAGTAAAGTCAAGTGGGATGAACCACACACACAAAGCTATGTTTAATCATTGATCTGTTTGTTCTAAAATGAAATGCACCCTGAAATCATCTGATCCGGACTGGACATTGATTTGTCTGAATTTCTATTTGAAGAATTTTTTTAAAGTTTTGACTTTGTAGTCAATTTTTTTTAGTTGTTGAGAGCTTAGGTGGCTGACTAGATCTTTCCATACCTGTAGCAAATTTTTTGGCCTAGTGTGTAACCAAGTGATATTTCCCTCAGTAACCCATGTGATAGGTGATGCAGTATTCAATTATATTTTTAGGTATTTTCATGAGGTCAAAGTTGGCCTTATATCAGTTTCCTTCTAGATAGATGACCATTTAAGATGGCTAATGAGCTAAATAGAACTAGTATCTTACTGAGACTTGAACTTTTGTCCCTTTTGTCTCAGTCAGCCACTATTCCCATTGATAACCTGTTTGAACTATAAAAACTTCTACAATTGGGAGAAGATCAAATCTAATCACAGAAATTACTCTGATTACTTGCTCCTGCTATATTGTTTGGTTTACAAACACTAGTAGTGTTTTGTATCTTTTTTTAAACAAAATTTAATGTAACATTGATAATAAATAAATCTCAACAAATTATGCAGCACTTATTTTGATTAACTGCATTACTTAGACCTTCATGACTTATATAAATGTAAAATGATTGATTTGTTTTATTTTACAGCTTATCAACCCTCTGTGGGTTATTTAAAGCCGAAACATTTTGGATTGTAAGATTTATTTATTTATTTTTGTGAGTGAATATTGCATTAACCAATTTTTTTAGAATAACAATGATTTTTTGAGATAAAAGTCCTATTTAACCCATAACTGGGGGAGATGATGGATTTATGGTATTTGCACATAAGTGAATATAACTAATCCAACTGAATTTCGAACTCAGCTTTCAAATTTCTCAGTCCAAGCCACTATCCATTACACTACTTACACATCCATGTGTAAATGTAAAAATAGTCTTAGTTGGCAATGATATAAATGACAGATGACTATAAAAAGTCGCTGTTGATTATTTATGGTTAATAATGCATTGACTATTGTTTGCATCTTGTGGCAATAATTATAAATAAAATGATGCACCAAAATAAGTAACCAAGTAATCGTTTTAAGTTCTCTGAATATTAGTGCCTAAATAACTATTAATAATAAATATGTTGGTAATAAATGATTTACAATAATTTTTTTTTTTCTAATTAAAAGAATACCTAAAATTGTAAATCTTTTTGTTTTGTAGAAATCAGTCTGTGTTTTTACTCAAAACCATTAAAAATAGGCAGCTTTGTCCCAGCTCTGTTGATTAGTGACTACTCTATATACTCATGGGGACAGGAAAAAATAGCTTTATTTTAGTTGGGTACTATTAATAATATATAAATCTCTTAACCAAATGAAATTTTCAGAATAATTATAACATGATAGATTTTTCAATCTGTTGTTCTTTGGAAAATAAAAACATGTACAAAATTTAAAAAGAAAACAACTTAGCAAAGTTTTTTTGTGTTTTTTTTTTTTTCTTTTTTGTTACAGTGACATTCACCCTGTACAAGGCCCGGGAGCCACTCAAGGTAAAGGGTTACATTAAGGAGCAGTTTATACAGATAGGAAGATAATGGTTAACCTTAGACATAAACAGATTAAGATTGTAGTGATCATGGAAACATCCTTTTGGGAGGCAGTTCTACAGAGCAGTGATTTGTGGGGAGAAGCTTTTCAAGTGGAACTTACTTCTCATTGATGGAATACAGAGGGAATGTGGGTAGTTTGCTACAATGTAAGTAGCATGGCGGATCCTAGCTGTGATGGTCATGACTGGCAAAACCAAAGAATGTAGTTTGTCTGAGCACTTTTCATGGAAGTAGCAATAGAGCAGTAAGAGGCATGCCACATCCTGCCTATGAGAGAGAGAGGTTGGAGAGTAGAAAATAATTTGTTACCCAAAGGACTCTGAGTCACTTTTGAACTCTATTGAGACTGGAAAGTGAGTACTAGGCATCTCCTACCCAAATATGACAACAGTACTCCATTCTTGGTCCGACCTAGCTCTTGTAAAGGTAGAGGATAGCATGAGGAATCAGGTACTTACTGGTGTGATACAGGAAACTGACCATTTTTCCTGCATCTTCAGCAATGGATTGCATGTATGAATTCCACTTGAGGTCAGGTGCCAGTTTAAGTCCCAATAGTCTCTCAAGGCATGGAGCCTCCTTGAGGGGACATCTGTTCGTCGTGAATTTTATTGTAGGTACAAAGGTTAAACTTTGCCCTATTCTTTTTTATTTAATGAACTCTATTTTTCCTTGTCTTTCCAATGATATTTATCTATTTTGTCATTAACAGTTTGCGACCCTAAAAGAGGAAATGTATATTAAAGAAGGACAGATAAAGTTTCTTCAAAAAGACTTACAGCGTCGTGAGCAGGAAGTTGCACAGCTGCACCAGGAAAAAATGCAAGAGGAGACACGAGAACGCAGTGAGAAAGAGAAGACTCTCAAGACTGAAGTGGAACGTCTAGTAGTAGAGCTTCAATTCAAAAACCAGGAAATCCATCGACTGAGAGAAAAATGCCTTGAAACAAAACCCAGCAGCAGCACTTCTGATACTGCTGGTAGCCCTAAAGTGCGTCGGATATTAGTTGAAAGGCCTTCTCCACATCCCACTACACCACAGAAAATTAAAGAGGAAAAACCAATTCCACTTAGCAGTCCTCCCAAATCAAGTAAGTCATGTGTGTGGAGAAATGAGACAAAATAGTAAAGCTTTTTATTGACAATGTGTTTTGCCTTTATTAGATAGGTAGGCATCTTTACATCAGAATGACACAAAATAATTACCTAATAATGCCTCAATATACACCGCAGAAATCACAGACATTCACTTAGGTCTTGACTTAATAAGAGACAGCAAAAATACAAAATTGATTATTCCCTTTGATTCTTTCTCAGCACTTATGGCAATAAAAAATAAAGTAACTTGTCATATAGGACATAAATGAATGGAATCATTCATTTATGTAAATAAGCAGAGTTACCATTAGGTCAATTGCTAAGTGTACCTTTGTGTAGTAAACCTTCTATTTCATTACTTACCTACGAATTTGTCTTTCTTATTTATTTCTCTCTGATATCTTGAAAACACAAGATACAACATAACTACAAATCCGATCACCACAAAAGTACTAAATTAAATCCAATAAAAACAAAGCATAATATTATGTTGGATACCTGACCATACTAACATTCAAGGTAATGAGAATGACGACAAAGAAACAAGAAATGCATTAAAGAAGCCATTAAACATAAAAATACTGCATACCAATCTCGGACCAATTATCAGAAAATTTATCATGGACAAATGGCAAAAAGAATGGAACAAGCACATGAATAATAAACTCTATAGAATCCAACCAGACATCAAAAAATGGCAAACTCGTTATAGGAAAATAAGAAAAGAGGAATCAGTATTAGCTCAACTCTGACTCGGCCACATGTTTATTACCCACAGTTATATACTAAAAAGGGAAGATCCACCTATGTGCTAGACATGTAATGGATGATACACAGTGGAACACATACTTATAAAATGTATAGATTTAAGTCCGGTACGTGAAAAGTATTATCAGGCAAACAACATAAATGAACTCTTAAACAGGATTGATCCAAATAAAATAATTAAATTTCTTAAGGAAACCAAGACAAAAATTTAAGCAATAACTAATCTTGACAAGTAAACAAACAAAATAAAATAATTTCTAACTTCATACCAAAATCATTCACTTTAAATGACCTCCTTTATAAAGGCTATTGCTTTCAACTAAATCAGTGTTTTTCAAACTTTTTTTTACTGCAACCCACAGCAAAATCAACATTAATAATAATAATAAAAAATCAAAGACAAATTCTGTTCACTAGGTTTATTTATTTAGCATCGACAATTTATATGAGTATATTTCTTATGATCTACACATAATGGAATTGTATGTATCGATTTGTATTATCTAGTTGTACAAATGTAAAATTATTACTTTTAGAAAAACAAATTTAAAGGAAATTCCGACACAAAGGTAAAGTAAATAATATTTGAAAAAAATGTTATTTAATGATGGATGTGCTTGTTTATTCATAAGCAGTTGATTCTATTTGGGAATACTGGAAGACAATGCTACATGCATATCAGGTGCAGTGTTGAGCTTGTTTCTGTCCTTCATCTGAAATTGAGTTAATGTGGAAAATCCCAGTTCACAAGAGATAAGAGATAATAGATATATATATATATATATATATATATATATAAAATCTAATACAAGCTTACCTCGGTGAAAAACTAGCAATGATTTATCAGTGCTGTGCAACATTCAAAATTGTTTATATTCTGCACTTTGCTCTCACTTGCGTCTTTTTTCTTTCTTTCTTTTTTGTCACACCCCATTTTATTTATCTTACAACCCACTGAAGAGTTAGGACACAGTTTGAAAAACCCTGATTTAAATGACACTAAAATATTACTCACAAATTAAATTTAATACACAAACCATGATTCCCAATCAAATCCTATTTGGCATGAAATGGCCTAACAACAGTTGATATGCTTTTAAACTATGGATGTCCAAACTTTTTTCAAAGTGAGCCAGATTTGATGAGGTAAATATGTATTCTGTTAGGCATTCTTTGAACCATTTAAAAATTAAATGCAAATGAACTATCTTATGAAAATTTTATTGCAAATGGCATATTTTCATTTCTTCACATGAATGACAAATAAATTTGAATAGGTCTTACCAAATTCACTGAATATCTGAAGCCCATATAAGATGAAGTAAAATATGTCTTACAAAAAATAACTTCCAGGAAGCTATGATATATCTAAGGTTAATCTTAAACATGACATATCTTTGGTAATTAATATTGTCTGTCAACTTTTAAGTTAAAAACAGTGCTGCTGCCATCTTTTGGTAAAAAATGAAATTGCATTTCTTACGCATGTACTTTACATACTCTGATTGACAATACTGGTGGGCTGTAAGTGATACATTCTATGACAGAGGATGGGGGCCATATGAAATTTAACTACAGCGCATAATTGGCCCCTGGGCCGAACTTTGGACATGCCTGCTTTAAACCCGACAATCAAATTAAGTCAGAATGAAAGACAAAGCTGTGTTTTTTTTATATTAAAATGAAAATTCCTACCTGGCTACCCAACAAAGGCAAAATGTGTTTTCAATAAAAAGCTTTTCCACATTATCTCATTTCTCCATTTGTGATGCGTTTCGTCCTTCAGGATGTCATTGGGCTAAGTTTGTTATGTTGGTATGACTGCATATGTGCATGAACGATGGTTGCTGGGGATTTAAAAATTTTTTTTTCTCTCCTATCTGAATTCATTTAGAGTCTTTTTCTTTCCATCAAATGTCTAGAGAGTCCCCTGATCAAAAGGTCATTTACAGTAAATTTGCAACTTTTTTCTTACATTCCACCATTCCTGGCTGATCTTCTATTATCAGTGTGGGATACATACTAACAAAAGTGATGGAAAGAAAAACTTGTTCAAACAAACATTAGGTAAAAAAAAAGAAATTGTAAAATTGAATATTTAATTACTAAATTTATTTTTACTCTGTCATCAGAAATATTTAACTTCTCAGTTTAGAAAATGATTGAAAGTAAATGGCGATATGATGATAAAACCTTGTTTATATGTACTGAGTTCAAACACAGTTGATGCTAAAATGCAACCCCAATTACTTTTTCATTTGTCTCACCTACAATAATAATCATTAGAGTAAATAAAAAAATTCATCTATTTGAAAAAATTTGCCCATAAAAAAATTGAAAAATACTGAAAAAAATATAGTTTCTGTCTGAATTTCTGGAATGAGGAGCTATCATTATTTACACTATTTACATTCAGATTATTGTCCTCGTCTTTGTTGTTGTCATCACAACACTTTGGCTGTTGTGCCCTCCGGCCTTCATCATGTGTATCACTATGGATATCTTTCAAGGAATTCTGACCGTAACCCATTATTTAGCCATACTCAACACACTTGGCCAATTGTAGATTGGTGAGGCTATTTAACCCATAGTTAGAGGTTTTGACTTCAGGGTTGTTCTTCTCTTACACCAGTTGGCAACCAAGGCTATAGAACCCAGTATGTCCTTCTATTTATCCATAGCTGGGGAGGGGGGAGAAGTGAGGGATTCACACCTTTCCCAACGGTATTTGCGCATAAGTGAATGTAACAAACTTGACTGGAATTTGAACTCGTCTCTCCGATTCCTCAATCCAAACCACTATCCATTACTTCATTACTACATTTTATCTTTCCTTTCACAGCCAATGAAACTAGTGTAAGTTATAAAGTCCGAAGAAATTGTTCACTCCAGGTTTCTATGCCCAAAGGTAAGTGGTTTTTCATCCAAGTTTGTTACCTGTGTCTTTAAATCATTTCTGCAGTTCATTTTTTTGTGTACATTTTATAACTCTTTAAAGATGACTATCAGTTGACCATTTATATTTCCTTAATGAATTCCTTATAGCTAGCATTCTAAATAAGTGAACAAAAAATGGCTCAGAATATAGAAAATATAAGTACTCATTGACTTAGAGCAGAGTTCTGCACTAACCACCTTGCTATAAGTGGATTCTGATATCATAAGCCAAATACTTGCTGGTATTAGTAGTAGCATCATCATCATTATTTAATTACAGCGTCTTTCAACATTGCAAGCCTATCACTAATCTTTTGGTATTTCCTTGACAACTGTTCATATGAGATCCCTTAACTTTAGAGCTGGGACACACTATCCTAATTCCACTCTCGTGTCCCCGTGTTCCAAATTTAAGAAGCAGAAAGTTCCACTCAGATAGCTATTTTGTTTGTTTGTGGAGAAAGACTATTTTCCCCCTCTTCAATCTCTTTCCCACAGATGGAACATTGCAAGTCTATCACAATTCTATCGCTATTTCCATGACAAATGCTCAGATGAGCTACATTCTTTAGTTCCACCACTTCAGAGCTTTACAGCTAGGGTACACCATCCTAATTCTATGGAGTCGAGTCACCCTCATTTTTTTCTTTTTAATCATTTCATTCCAAGCAAGGTTATAAAGCCACTAAGACACAGTCAAAGAAAATGAAAATCTATTAGTGAGGAGAAAGGGCAATAAAAGGACAGAGTTCAAAATGATAGAAAATGGTGATTGACATTACAATTAAACTTTTAAAGATTGTAATTGTTAAGAAAGCAGGAAGCCAGAAGAAAGTTTCACAATTGAGAAGTGTGAGAGGAGAAATTATTAGAATAGAACTTATGGTTACATTTAGCTATTTCAACAGTAAAATGAGACTTAACTGCCAATCTAGTTCTATGCTTAAATTCATGCAGTCAAAGTACCAAAGAGGAGAGCTCATCAGAACAATTGTCATGAAAATATTTATAGAGAAAGTTTCACTTGGCTTTTCTCCAAGAACTGCCACTTTGTGGAATGTCCCATGAATCCCTCAGGGATGCTTCCCTGAACAATGTTAACTTCTTCAAGTCAAGGGTAAATCATTATCCTCCTTATTCTCATAACTTTCACTTCCTACTACCTCTTTCATTCATATCACACACCTGAAACATTATTACCATTTTAACTGTAAAACATTACTTTGAATGATTCTTGAGCCTTGTATTAGGTGAATCTTAGTATAAAAAAACTTACTGAATGCAAGACCCAAGAGCCACTCAAAGTAGAGGGTTACTGTGTGGTGTTGCATGAGCATAAGAAAGGGCTAGAAGGGAAGTTCATGACATTATGCAGGAAAAACAATGATTAACCCTAGACTTAAAAGGTCAAGATTGTAGTGACTGGGAAAACATACTGCCAAGAGTCTGTTCCATAAAACAGCAGTTCTTGTGAAGAAGATGTCCAAATGGAACTTCAATTTACACTTGTGTATGTGGCATGTTGGGTCCCAGTTGAAAGATCAGGGCTGGTGCGACCAAGGAATGTAGCTCGTTAGAAAACATACCATGGAAATAGCGATAGAGCAGTGAGAGATTTGTGATGTTTTGTCAGTGGGGAAAAAGGTTGTAGGGTGGAAAATAATTCATCACCCACAAGTCCACATACACACTTTTGAACCCTATTAAGATATGGCAGCAATCCTCCATTTGTGGTCTGATCTGGCTCTTGTAAAGATAGAGTATAGCAGGGGGAGTCAGATACGTACTGGAGCAGTGCAATGAATGATGTTGTATAAGCATAAGAAGAGGGGGTAAGAAGTGCACTTTATGAGGTTATGTAAGAGAGATAATGGTTAACTCTAGGCTTGAAGAGGTTAAGATTGTAGTGACTGCTGGGTGTATGTTCCATAAAGCAGTGGTTCTTGGGAAGATGCTGTCTGAATGTCTTAAAAATTGTTTTTCTTTGTTTTTAAGAGCCAGAAAAGAAATAGCAATAAAAAGTTATTTACTAACACATGTTACCTTGTAGTGGTACCTACTGATACTTTTTACAAGAAGTTGCCAAATGTAAAAATATGAAAGCTGACTACAGGCTTATTTTTTAGAATACTATAATTAAGTAACAGTTACATAAAGTATGCCAAGCCAAGCCAAGGTCAAGAATCCCAGCATGTTTAAAATGACTGCCCATCCCATCCATTATCATACAATCCCCTACAAATATAACCTCCTTAATACACATTTTGCAACAGACTTAAGTGCAGGCAATTGTAACTTGCATATTGTCATAAGTTAACAATGACCTATAAATACACATTTGTTGCTTTTGGATTCCAAGTATATTCAAAATTTTAATCCATATCCTAGGATTTTTTTCTTTTTATCATTTCACCCCAAGCAAGGCAATAATGCCACTAAGATGCAATGGGTTACTGGGAGTGGAAGATAATGAGAAGACTTTAGTGAAGAGAAAGGACAATAAAAGAACAGGATTCAAGAAGTCAAAAGATGGCGATTGGCATTGCATTTAAATTTTTGAGGATTGTAGGTGGCTGGGAAGCAAGAAACTGGAAGAGATTTCCACAGCTGAGAAGTGCAAGAAAAACTATAAGAATAAAACTTAGTTACATCTAGTTCAATAATAAAATGATGAAACCTATTTGCCAGTGTAGGCTTAAATTCATGTGGTTGAAGTAACAAGGAGGAAAGATAATCAGAACGATTGCCATGAAAATATTTATAGGAAACAGCATGGAGGAAAGCTACGTCAGCATTGGGAAAGTGACTGAAGTTGAGATACTAGGTCAGGACTGTTAACATTACAGACCCTTTGGATTTTGTTGAGAATCTTGAGATTTATAGCCAGAGCACCAAACCAGATATGGCAGCAATATTCAATGCACGGATTATTAATTTTAAATATTTTTTATTGATATTAATTTATTATTTTTGGTATTAGCAGAAAAACTGCTAATGTGTGTCATCATACTACTTTTAAGAAAATATTTGTGAAGCAGCAATATACCAGGTATAACAACAAATCATGTAACAGTAAAATTATCCAATTGTTAGATTAAGCTTTGAACTGTTGTATCTTAGAAATGTTTAAAGATATCTTACTGAAATTCTCCAAGGTTTTTATAATATTATTAGACACTACTTTGAGCAATAAGAATGTATAATTACTCCAGGCTTAACAAAAGAATTATGATGAAATCAATCATAAACGAAGATGACATGTTCATCATTAATTAATCATAGCTAAGGATTGGAAGCTCATGAAGGATTGAAATAAAGTTCAAATATATATATATATATATATATATATTATTCCAGGATCATTTTCCAACTTATTCAAGATGATCTTCACTCTCTTTAACTGTCTAACTTTCTATCTTGGAGTAGTAACAAGGTGCCTCACATGTTTCATATATGATTTCATTTTCCAGTCTTTTTTTTTTTACTGCTCTTTGGATTGCCATAGTTGAAACTCTTTTCTTATGTTCCAAACGTCTTATAGATTGAGTTTGATCTTTTCTAATTGATTTCTTTAGCTTGAAGTTGAAATGATGATCCCGCTTCCTGTTGTGACCTCCTGATCCAGTTTTTCTCTTTACTGTTCCCTTTTTTTTTATAAACTTATTCATCATTCTCTTGATGGTTTTACTGAAGGCCTGAATGATTTTTTTCCTCTCACCATAGCTCATTTGGGAAGACAGTGGGGCTGACACAAAATGATTTTAACCTGTTCTCTTTCTAGCTGAATAACTCAAAGGGTTTTTCAATGATTCTTATGACATGGTATCAAGATGGCTAAACGTCTTATCTGAAAACCTGGAAAAAAGACATTCAATTAATTTAGTGGTTTTTTAGATATTAAACATGTTGTGGGATGGACAATTATGCTGTAACACGATTTGGACAATTTTGATGTTACACCTGGCATGTATGTGCCTTTTTATTTTGACATTCATAGACTAATTTCAGGTAAATTTTACACCCAGTTTCTTGAATTTTACTGTTTAGATTTTTAAAAATGGAAAAAATAGAAATCTGAAATTCATGAGAGGTATAAAACTTAAATACAAAAACTTAGTTATTTTTAAAGAAGAAAAGGGGGAGAAAAAAGTGTTATCCCAAAATGAATGAATCTCTGTTCTATGAAAAGTGAAACTGACATGGATATATTAAGAGGAGGGTATCACAGGATAATTGTTCACATTTGGTTAAACTCATATTTTTTTTCTTTAGTGAGGTTTGTTGAAAAAATAGTGAAATTTGTGTCAATGATTCGCAAAAAATCAGATTGTCTAAATCAGTGTTTCTCAACATTTTTAAACAATGGTACACTTAACAGAATTTTTAAAGGGTATACACTTAAATAATATGAAATAAAAACATAGATTCTAAAAAAGAAAATACACACACAAATATGAACTTACTTTATTTCAATGTTTCTGTTTAAATATATGTGCAGCTTATTTAGTGGGAAACCTGTGCCTGGTGTTTACAATTATATGAAAAAAAGGTTAATATTCATTTATTCAAATAAAGGAAAATTTTAAAAAGTTAAATTAAATAATAAAAATACTTTTTAAAAATTAATATTAAAACAAAGTATTTAAATTAACATAATTGAAGAATAGTGAAAAGAATTATTTGAATAAAGTTTAATACTTATTCATTTATTCAAATACTAACACTGTGTTATTGCTACTTCCTTATACACATACATGTATGCCATGACAAAATTTTGTGGCACACAGGCATAGCAGTTGAGAATCACTGGTCTAGATATCTCAAAAAAGGTGTAAATTGAGTCATATATAATGTCATCACCAAAGATAATTGACCAGTAGCATGCAGAAGGGTGGCAGAGGGTGTGATGGCTCTGGGTATCCATATTGGGAAGGCATCCAATCAAAGAGTGAAATAAAAATTTAGTCTATATTTAATTTGAATAAAATGTTTATTTCATGTTTCATCTGTTTTTACATACAGTGTAACCCGAATATAAGAGAGTTGTCAGGACCGGAGAAGAAGTATCTTATATCCGGGTTTGGTCTATTTTGTTTAGGTAACACAGGCTCTAATTTGGGACCAGGGAAAATCTCTCTTATATCTGGGTTTCTCTTATATCCGGGTCTCTTATATCCGGGTTACACTGTATTTAAAATGTTTTCCTTTTTCACATTTCTCAGTACTAATCCCTATAGGCCCTCGACTTGACTTAGAGGCATACAATCAAAAAGTTGACCCTGACCATCACCAAACCTCTGCATGTCACTGTAATTCATTCTCAGCGAGAAACACTTGCTGATTTATTAATTTCTTTTCTTCTACTTCACTAGGTGCTCTCCATGGTTCTCAGCTGATATCCCAGTTATTGCAAAACAGTTCCAATGCTACAGAATCCTTGCCACTGTCAAGTTCAGGTACTAATATTGTACCCTTACTCCATTTACATACCACACTGGATTTTCAGGGGGTCAAATTTTGTCGAGATGAAGAAAATTTCTTCCTGTTTCCTGTTGCCAAAAGGTCAGTTTGGGAAATTTATGATTTTAGAAGTAACGTTTTAAACTGAAGATATTGGAGTCACAGAGTTTTTAAAAATATGTTTTTATTATTAAATAATTATTTTAACTCTTTGCTTTCTAGGCAAAGTGTCTTGATTTTAACTAAATAAAATTTTCAAAGACAACTAACATAAAATTATTTTTATTTCTGTCCAAATTTTGGGGATAAGACTAATGTTCTCGTCTTTGTTGTTAGTGTCATAACATCCTGGCTGTTGTACCTTCCAGCTTTCTTCAGGTGTCTTAATCTGAGTAACCTTCAAGGAATTTTGAACTGGAAACTTTATTTAATCTACTAGGAATATCCCTTGACATGAACAGCAGTGTGTGAACAATCTGCATCCATATATTTAATAAAGAGTTAATTTCAAAATTCTCTGAATGTTACCTGTATTGACAGGCACCTGAAGAAGACCATAGGAGGCGGGGTAATTAGAGTATATTATTATATATTTAATAGTATATTATTATTATATTATTATTATTATAATTATATATGTAATAGTATTGTTATTATATATTATAGTATTATTATTATATATATGATGCAGAATGTGGGACAGAGGGTGCAATGACAAAGAGTGAACTTTATGTTTATATTTAATTTGAATAAAGTGTTTATTTCATGTGTTTTTCAATATTTAAAATGTCTTCCTTTTTCACATTTCTCAGTACTAGGTCTTATAGTTACCCCTACTTGAGTCTTTGGGGCCAACAATCAAACCTCTGCATGTCACTGGTGATAGTATATTATTATATATGTAATAGTTTGTACAGTATTTACATTAGTCGGACTATTGTCCTCATCTTTGTTGCCATATTTGTCACGTTTCGGCCTTCTTCAGGTGGTTGGAATTTCGAACTGAACCCTTTATTTTGATCCCTGGGGTAGACTGTTCTAGTTCCACGTGCCATGTTTGATGGATGTCAGTTATCAGTTATCTCCTGCTAATTTTCCCTCTGAAAGTTCTCCACTGAGTTATTGAACTCACTCTATCACTGGATCTAACCAACGCCTTTATCCACTGTGCCATGTGTCCTTGAGGACATCTGGGTATGAATTTCTGGATATTATAAACTTAATGTTTTCAGCAACCATTTTTACCAGTGCTCATATTGCAATTTTGCTGTTATCATTGCATGTAGGGTACTACTTATACTGACCAATTTTTTTACCAGAACTCATATTGCAACTTTGTTATCATTGCTTTTCTCTGGCACTCCTTATTACTGGTTCCCATATTGTATTTATTTCTATGCTTGGTCGGCTCAGGAGATTTTTGTGGCCTAGCATATGTGCTGATTCCTTAAGTTTCTGAATTTTCCAATGGTGTTCCCTGTCTATGATCTCAACATGATCCCACAGGGGACGGTGATCTCCCTTCTCTCTCCATATGTGGTCAGCCACGTCTGATTTTTCCACTTCCCCTCGCATTACAGCTTTCTGGTGTTCTTGAAGCCTTACCTTGAGGGGGCGGCCTGTCTCTCCTTTATATTCCTTTCCGCAGCTGCACGGGATAGCGTACACACAGTCTTTAGTCATGTTCTCCTCTATGGGGGGGTCTCACTCGAGAGAGATATCTGCGAAGTGTTGTCACGCTTTTGAAGGTTGTCCTGATGTTATATGGACCGCAGATCCTTTGTATTTTCTCTGATAACCCCTTCACATGAGGCAGGCAGACTATTTTCTGAGTGTTGTTGTCCTCCTCCTCCTCTTGTACCCGCCTATCCCAGTTTTTGGGGGCTGCTGCCATGTACCCAGGGTAGTTGTTACGTTGTAGGGTACTACTTATACTGACCAATTCCTTATCTAACGTCTCTGGGTCGCCACTTATGACTTTTGCTCGATGTTGCAAGCAACGGACGATCCCTTTCTTTACGCTGTATGGATGGTGGGAGTTGAAATTGAGGTACTGTCCGGTGAATGTTGGTTTACGGTATACAGATGTCTTGAACCCATGCTCTGTTCGAGATATTAGTACATCCAGGAATGGGAGTGTGTTGTTACTCTTTTTCTCCATTGTGAACTGTATCGAAGGTCTTATTGAGTTCACATGGTCCAGTAAAACCTGGACATCTTCCTGGTGTGGCCAGAGTATGAAGGTGTCATCTACGTACCATAACCATATAGTTGGCTTTAGAGATATAGATTCTAATGCCATTTCTTCAAAGTATTCCATGTATATCTTCGCCATTGCTGGTGATAATGGCGAGCCCATTGCTAAGCCCTCATCCTGTCGATATATGTGTGATCCCATTCCGAAGTGTGTTGTTTGTGTACAGAAAGTCAACATCTCCATCAGATTATCTATTGGAATACTGGTTCGTTCTTCTAGGGAAGAGTCAGAGGTCAATCTGTCTCTGACTACTGAGAGTGCCTCATCTGTGGGTACCTTGGTGAACAAACTCACCACGTCCAAGCTCACCATCTGGTTGGATAGGATGAGAGCATCTTTGATTATTTCCACGAAGTGGGCGGAGTTTCGGACATATGAAGGAGACTTTCCGATCAATGGGTCAATTATATCTACAAGGAAGCGACTCAGAGGGTGGCACACAGAGCCTTGGCAACTAACAATCGGCCTGAGTGGAATACCGTCTTTGTGAATCTTAGGGAGACCGTATATGGGAGGTGGCACGTGGAATTAGAACAGTCTACCTCAGGGATCGAAATAAAGGGTTCAGTTTGAAATTCCAACCACCTGAAGAAGGCCGGAGCGTACAACGGCCGAAACATTGTGACAAATATGGCAACAAAGATGAGGACAATAGTCCGACTAATGTAAATACTGTACATAATACCTCATCTCAGAAATATAGACAGACTATGTAATAGTTTGACTGTAAACAATGTAAATGTGATTATTATTAAGTTGTTTAGAAAATATTGTCTGATTTTAGAATAAATTGTGTAATGGTTATTGGCTCTGAATGAGAAATCCGAGTTGGGTTCGATACATTCACTTACATGCAAATACTCATGGAGAAGGTATGAATCTATCTCTTCTGCCTCTCCTCCCATCAACAAAAAAACAGATTAGGCTCATTAGCCTTATTTGGCAACCAATCTACTGCAGAAAGAAACATCAACTTTCTGCAGGAAAGTCTTCTGCCTAGTTAGTCATGCATCGAAAGAGGCATGATTGCCCAAATGTTTATCATGTATGGCACTTAACTGACTTAATAATCTGACCGTAAATAATTTAAATATGATTATTATTAGGTTGTTTGGAAAATAATGTCCGATTTTAGAATGTGTTTTAATTATGTTCTAATATATTATTATAATAGTTGCACAAAAATAAGTTACTTATTCCTAATGATTAATGTGTCCTCTTTGTTAATTTTATATCAATCTCTTTCAGCATTTAATTTAAAACATTATATGCCACACATTTTGAACATGAAAAAAGAAGAGATGCATTTACTTTTCTTTTTTTTTTTTTTATATAAGTGCAAGCTTGGTCATAAATCTTCTCAAACTACTGCCAACATTAACAGAGTGTTAGGTGAAAAATCCACTTGTGATAGGGCATTATGGCACTGGTCTCTGAAGTTCACAGTGGGAATATGAGTCTTGAAGATCAAGGTGGTAGAGGAAGTTCATCTGCAATTGACAGTCAACATCTGAGAATACTAGTCAAACAAAAACCATGTCAAAAATGTCTCAGATAATGGGTGCCAGTATTTTAACAATATTGGACCATCTCAAGAGAATTGGCAAGGTGAAGAAACTCTATAAATAGGTTCCACATGAACTCAGAGAAAATCAATGCATTAGACATTTTAAAGTGGGTTCAATGCTGCATCTATGAAATTCAAATGATCCATTTCTTGACCGAATAGTTGCCAGGATGACATTTCAGAAGCTCACCAACTTGAGATACAAGACTTTGCCGCATTCACCACTTCCTCTGACGCTTTTTCAAGCACCTTGACAATGTTTTAAATCAAACGACATTCTATTGCAAAGTAGATACAGAAAGTGCATTCAAAGATTTCTGCTCATCCAAACCTATAGAGTTTTATCATAAACACATAAATAACCTTAACTCGATGATAGAAATGTATAGATGTTAAGGGTTCCTATTTTGACTGATTTAAACACTGTTTAAATACATTAATTCAAGTATAAGCATTGATTCTAAATTTGGACATTATTTTCTGAAAAACTGAATATTATTATTATTATTATTTTTACATTATGAACAAATTTATGATTTTATAATCTCTGTAAGAAATTTTCTTTGTTCGATATGAAATATCAAAATTCATATTTTTAATGAAAATGTATAGAACAAATTTTAACTCCAATTTCAGTCTTTATCAATTTCAATTTTAAAAACAAGCTCATGTTCATTTTATTTATTAGTCTGCCTCAAATTTATTTTTTTATCATATACTAGACACATTATACCTTTGTGCCTACAAAAAAATGGTATGTCAAAAGGATAGTTATTCTTTAGACACAGGTATTACTGTATGCATTTTTGCCCCCCTCAGCACTGTTCATTGTTTAAAAAGTGATGATTAGAATTTTAATACAACCCAAAACTATGAGAGTGCATTTATACATTTTCTTTATGCTTGACAATTGACAACAAAGATGTTAAACACTATTTATTTATTAGATTGAATAAAATCTTGTTTTCATAGTTATTTATAAAATGGTAAATAATAAATATTGTATTGCAGTTGGTTTACATATTTTAATAATTTTGTAGTTTTTTATAAATTTTTGAATAAAAAGGTTTCTTTTCAAATTTATTTCTTTATAAAATGGTAAATAATAAATCATTACAAAAGGGGAAAGGATAAATATAACATTGTACTTGGGCCACACATTTTTATAATCTTATAATTGAACATTGCTGAGGGAGGGGTTCGAAAGTGTATATAGTAATAGCAGTGTCAAGATAACAGCCATCTTTTTCACACACCATTTTTTGGCAAATATGAAAGTTAAGCATTGCTCACATTATTTTCTATTTACAAACTTAAATAACATCAGTTATTCTTGCTGTTGTTAGATTCCATTTATATTTATTACTTCTTTTTATATTTTTCTTTTTCTCTTTTTCAGTGGAGCTGATATTCAGAAAATTGTTGAAACATCTGATAAGAAGAAATCTTTTGTGTCCAACGTGAATCTTGACCTGGCCATGTATGGAATCTCACAGCTGCTGACCATAGAAAACGTACTTAGTGGTCGTCAATTATTTGACACTACTGCAGAGTCTGTTAGCAAACATTCCTGTCCTAGTCTATTACTGCTACCCTTGATGGAAGAGTACTTCACTCAGTACTCTGAACAGCTAAGTACTCAATTGTTAGATTTTCGATCCACTCACTCTGATAATGGCAATGCAACTTCGTCGTCAGCTGGAGGCTCATGGAAAACAAGCTCGGTTGAAAGCTCTCTGGAATCTTTGGGTAGTTCTCTGAACTTCTTGTTGCAAGTACGGTCAGATGTGGCCAATAATTTGGAACAGTTAACCCTGTCAGCACTCAGAATACTTTTCAAATTAGCTTCCTTTTCCCCTGGACTGAGATGGGCTCTTCTCACCCTGAACACTTCATCTGACACTGAAAAGCTTGTTGTAAGTTTAGCTTCCTAAAGTCATTGATTGTGGTTTCTTTTGATTATCTCAGTGTAGTGTTTCTCAACTTTTTCAAGCAACAGAATACCTAGAAGCAAATGAAAATATCACAATACACTTAGCAAAATTTTTAAAAGGTATACATTTAAATGTTATAAAATAAAACCATAGATTTAAAAAAAATAATATATACACACAAATATGAACATATTTTATTTCAATGTTTATATTCAACTATTTGTGCAGCTTATTTAGTGTGAAATCTGTACCTCTCTCATGATTTCTTCAATGTTTGGTTGAATGTGCAATAAATAGACTCATTTTTTTCTTCAGTTGAGCATAGTCTTTCTTGCTTCTTATTTTTTGTTATTTAGGGTTGAGAAGCCTAATTCACATAAATAAGAAGTGGAAAATTGCAATAAAACTGATAATGCCTTTTTAGCTAATACAAGGTATTCCTTTTGTATTGAAATCCAAATGTATCAATGGGTACTGTCAAACGTTTTATTTTGAGCCCTTGATCACTAGAAAATTACTATTTTCACACTAGTGTGCCGTGGCACTGTCATTGAGAATCACTGCCTCAGTGATTTGCTGTTCTTGGTTGTATTTTATGTTCACAACATTTCAACCAGTGTACACTCTGGCCTTCTTCAGGTTTCTGTCTTTGTACTTGGTAACCTTTTGGGAATTTTGAGATAAACCCTTTATTCAATTCACAGAATAGATTCTTCTGCTTTCTATGCTTAGGGGATATTTCATATCACTTAACATTCACCATTTTGATTCATGTTTTAGTGCAGCTTCTTTATTTCTTTCACTGGACCAGAGTGTGCTACTTCAGCGCTACCATGCCCAAGGATTGCACACAAGGCCATGTTTTAAGAAGCACATTGCTTAGTGTATTAAAGCATTGGTTAAAATATATTAGTGTATGTATACATGTGTAACACTATGCCTAGGACAATTTTGATCATAGCAACCAGATGTAACACTGTAGGTAGCAGATGTTCACTGGTTCAGCAACATTCTTGAGAGCAGACACCTTCATCTGTATTGTATTCAGAAGATCTGAACAAATCCCAAGCAGCCACATGTTTCACTGTATGAAAGTTGACAGATTTCTGAGATTGATTGAAATCTTGGAATAATGACTAAGGCTAAAATGCAATAACAAGATTTTAACAAGCATTTTTCTCATTTTAATGCTTTACAGCAGTACACAGCATCTTATTGGCTTGAGCAGATTTCAACATTTTTTTTCTGGTGGCTTTAATTGACTCCCCCAATCTATATATTGCAATGCATATTCATATATAGAAACCACCCCTCCAGTTGCTGTAACTCATGTATTAGTATGATTTGACCATTACATAAAGATCTCAAAAGATTTCAAAATGTACATGGCCAGCTAACCACTTGCCTGAATTCTAATAACCTACTTTCTGAAAGCTGTTCTTTCAGTAAGACCACCAGCTAGTATACCTTTATGTAAACAAATTACACAACCTGTTGGCTTTAGCAAAGTTTTTTTTAACTCTCTTTCTCTAAAATTAAAAAAGTACATCAATTAAATAAACAAATCTTTCTTGCTGAATTTAAAAACAACTTGTTTAAATGAATTCTTGTTGCCTAAATTCACCTTATTTGTGTGTGTATGTGTGTGCGTGTTCATGTGTATGTGTAACACTAAGGCTAGAATCACAGCAACGAAATGAAATTTTGCATGGTACGTGATGAACAGGTAATTTTGTTCCAGTCACTGGTTCAGCAACATCCTAGGCGGGAGACTCCTCTATTCAGATTGAAGTCTTGCAATAATGAAAAAGACTGTAATGTCTTATCAAGATTTTAACAAGTACCATCCTTCCTAATACTTGACAGCTGTACACAGCATTCTAGTGGTTTTAGCAGATTTCCATGTTCTCTGGCAGCTTTAGTTGATTTCCCCAAAGTGCATTACACACATATATATATATATATATATATATATATATATATATATAAAAACCAATCCTTTAGCTTGTCACCAGTGGTGTATTGGTATAATTTGACCATTACTTTACAATCTTAAAGGTCTCCTTTGTTCCAAAATGTACATGGCCAGCTTGCCACTTGCCTGAATTCTGATAACCTGTTTTCTGAAAGGTATTTTTCCTATAATGCCACCAGTGACTATAACTTTATATAAACAAACCATACATTGTTTTCTTTTTTTTATTTTTTCTATTTTGAAAGCTCTTTCTCCAAAATAATTAAGAAACCATACCAATCTAATGGATAGGTCTTATTTAATGAAGTATTGTAAACCTTTATCATACATTTTTTTATTATTATTAATTTTTTACGAGTATTTTTTATCATGTTTGTTTATGTAATAGTATTAACTGTATTTATTAGGTGAAGCACTGTCAATCATTTTTTTATTCGTTTTTATTAGTATTTGCTTTTGTGTTTATAATAATTTGTTTTTTCTTTCTCTCAGTGTTCTTTGATTTGTTCCCTTGCAATGACCAGTCCAGATAAAAAAAATGCCAGCCCTAAAACTGGGACTTCATTTAGTGGCTGCCTCTCTCATTTGAATATTGAACGCTTGGAACTTTTAAGTAAACTGTTTAAACTGGCAAATCCTGTTCCTGAGGTGAGTTGTTATGTATTACAATAAAACCTGAAAATGTTTTCTTGTATTTGTGTTCTTGCCTGTCAAATAGATGGTCCCTAGGGTCTGAAAATTACTGTTTATGGGTAATTTGACTTGAGGATGAAAATAGAATAAATGAGACTGCCTTCTGAAGTCTCTAGAATTTCCACAAGTCAACTTAGGTTCAAAACTGCAAGAAGGAACAGCTTCTTACATGATGCCACATAAATTGAAAGCACCTTAATTGTAGCCATATATGTAAACGTTTTCTTCTTCTAAGAAGAAAAAAAACAGTGATGAGCCAATGATCATGTATTTAGCAATATACATCATACAAAATGAAAATCTCTGTAAGGCCAATAAATCACATCAATATTAGAATCTTTTATATTCTGAATTAATTTGAATGTTGCTATACAGTGTTAACCTTTCTTTTTTTTTGTTTTGTAGTGTTTTCCTTTAGTTCTTATTTTTGTTTCTTTCTCTGTTTTAGATGTTATGTAATCCAAATATTGTGGAAGCAGCTCTCACTTTATTGATTTTGCTTGCCAAATCTGCAATACCTGAACAACTTGAAAGGTAAGCAATTTATTTAAACAGAATCTTAGTATGACTATTAGGAAGTAACATGGAAAAATAATGAGAGAAGCAGCAATAACAACATTCTACATATTCACACATATGCACAGGTGGACACATGCAGACACACACACACACACAATGAAAGAAAAAAATCAACCCTGCACCAGTGAAAAAGAAAAATGAGAAAATAAACAGCCAGTTGCTGATATCCCCTGACGTGTGGACGGAATGATTGCTGGTAGGCCCATTTATGAAACTCAGAATTCTGATCAGTCAGCTAAGTGACAAATTTTATTATTGTATTAATTCTACACACACACACACACACATAATAAAGAACAAATAGGAAACATTTACCAACCTAACATCTTTCACTTTTATTAAAGCTTCATCAGAGAATGGGAAATGGAGAAAAAGAAGAAAGAAATTCTTGTATTTTTACTTTTGTGTTGTTCGACTTTCATTGGTTAAGCATGTTTGATGTGAATTCAACTTTTTAAACCAATGTTGGTATAATTAAATTTGGAACGCCACAAAGTATACATATAAGAAATTTAACATATCATCAAAAAACATTTTCAAATGTTTTCATAACCAGGGAACAAGGGACAAACCCATATACCTGTTCAAAAGACTGGAGAAGTATGAACCAGATGATAGGCAGACCTATCTATTCCTATTGAGGAGAAAAAACAAATACAGGTGTGATGGATAAATTGTCATCTAAATTACGCAAAAATGAAGATAACTCTACATTTCATTTTAACAGATATATTTACCAAAATTATTTACCAAAAATATCTAGAAATACTAAAAAGTAAATTTATTCAATAAAATTGCCATTGGCTTCAAACATGGCCTCCAGATGACTTCAGAATCTCGTGCAACTCTTCTGGATAGTCTCTTTGTTTAAGTTGGTGAATCCTTGCCTTCAGGTCATCTTTGGTGTTATAAGGAGTTTTGTTGGTCTCTTGCTCAACTGCCATCCACACAATAATCTAGGAGGATGCAGTCTGGGGAGTTAGGTGGCCAGATGTGAGGGGTGATGCAGTTGCAGAAAATGTCTGACAGTAATGACTGAATTCTCCTGCTTGTGTGGCATGGTTCAGAGTACTGTTGCCAGACATAGGGTCTTCCAGCAGTCACCCTCTTGACCCATGGCAGCACATCTCCTCAAGGCACTTGATGTAAGCCTCCGTGTTGAGTCTGAGGCCCAGTATGAAGATGAATGAAGGCATAACGTTGCCATCACTAGGGATCACTCCAAACACCTTCGTAATCACCACTAGACTCATCCAACTCTTTCCAAATTCTCTGCACTGTCCTCAGATTGACACCCAAACACTCTGAAATTGGAGGTTCTAGCATGAATGCCAAGCAGTGCACCATGCTATTTCCAAATTTCTGGTGGAATGAATTGCATCATGGTGCTCTTTTTCTCACAGTGTGTGACACTGAGAACTCCAGAGGTTGATCATCAAAAAAAGAATCTACTAACTGGATGATAATTGTTAAAATTGCAGGAAGATGGATTGAAAAGTTGAGAAGAAAATTAAAAAGGAAAGGTGTTGAAAAATCATGTTTTTGAAATAATTCTAGGGAAAATTGAACCCAAATTTAACTAGATGGAATTAAGCAAAGCCAACCAAAACCAGGATTACCTGTCCTTCACCTGCTTCCCACCAATAAGAAAGAGACCATTGTAATAGGAGTGACAGTGACTTACCAGGAGCAAAGCGAATTCGTTGCCTCACGCGGTTGAACCATTCTCTGAGAGTCGGTTCTGCGGCGCCCTTCTGCCATTTTTATGCAGCAGACTTATTTGCATAAGAGAACCACGCTACCGATTAAAAACCCGGCGAGTGGACGTGGGAGGCCACTGCTTTTCTAGCCTTCGGCGAGACTAGACGGATTGCAGACAGAAAGCGACAGCAATTTCTGGACATACGACAACCATAAAGGTATCCACAAAGCTGTTAGATAAAATAAAAATGTATGTTGATGATAAAGAAACCAGGACGGTTGCTGAAATAAATGACATTCATGATTCCTCCTGACAGAATAGGCCAGAAATAACTGTCATTTTGAATCAGCCATCCAGAAGAAAAGTATCCCAAAAAAAGATAGAGATCGACTGGATATGTTCATCATTATAATTTTGGTGATGTTTGTTCAAACAAAATTTTATATCCAAGCATTAATTTGAATTCCTTTGGATACAAGTGGTAAGGAAAAATTAATTACTATTTTGAAGTGACCATGAGGAAAAAGGCTCGGTGGTTTGATCATACCAAAAAATGCATAGACCAAGAAAAGATAAACTTTCCTTTTCCAATTCTTGAATGGTTTGGTTGATCGAGAGATCCCAGCATGGGGCAAGTTGATAGACAAGGATTAATGACTGAAAATCCTTTTTGTTTTTGCTGTGCTATATGGAAGTTGGATTTGTCACTCCTACCTAGGGAGCAGGCTGAAGTTGGCTGCTGAGAAAGTGGGAGAAGACAGAGAGAGACAGAGATTAGCACAGCCTTTATGGAGCAGTGGTGCGAGGTGAGGTGTAAAGAGTTAGAGTTAAGGGGTGGCTTGATCCCTCTGTCCACTCAAAAGGGGGCTGGACAAATCCAAATTTGGAAAAATTCTTAAGTAAATGTATTTTTATATATGAAAATTTAGAAAAAGTTGATGCTTAGTGTAGAAGACAAACAAACCCAGACCTGTCAACCCCACCCTTGCTGGATACTGGAGATTTTAAACAGCTGACACACACAGAGACAAAAAGAGACACACAGAGAGTAACCACACTACTGCTACTGGAATCTGCACCGTTTGATGAGACCATCTGACCAAGACTTTGTGCTGGACCTGAAGACCAGAACTTAGACGTTACTACTAAAAACAAGCTGCAGACTCAGATTCTTGTTTTTTTTGTGTGTAGCTCCCAAATTGTTGAACTGTCTTCACTTCAGTTTGCTTCATCAGAGATCTTCTCGCCCTCTGAGATCAAAAACACAACATGGCAGAAGAGTGAATGGTCATGAACAGACAAAACGCCAGCTAGGTCAAGTGGAAGCATGCATACCATCACAATACCAGCGACAACGGTCACAAGCTAACAAGTTAAGAGTCAGCTAAAAGGTAACTACGGTGGTCTGAAGGAACTTGAGGTGGACAGCTGGATGACATAATTGGTTGCGGCTGACTAGAAAGGATGATGGGGGTTACAGGTGCCCAACTGACCCTACTATACTGCGTAGTTGACAAAATCAGAAACAAAAAAAACACATGCGCAAAATTAAAAATATAAAATGGCGACAATTTACCCATCGCACCATATAATTAGAGAATAAAATTTCAGAATTCAGACAGAGACATTAGAAGTATTAGACTTTAGAAGGAACTGGAAACTCAATCCTAAACAAGGGACAAACCTCTACTTCTTTTCAAGAGACCAGGAAGGAGTGTGAGCCAGGCACTAGGCAAACCTATCTACTCCTACTGAGGAAAAAATAAAGTATAAATAGTAAGCGAAATTCCAGATCTTAGGTAGAGATGTTGCATATAAGAAAATAGGGATAAAAAATAGAATGAAAAATAAAAAAGCTAAAATTAAAAACAATGAGAAAGTGATAGGGTTCCAGGTGTGGAATTGACATTGAATATATGTATTTTGTCATGGAGTTTAGGAATCTGTTGTCACATTAATAACTATTAAGTTTTTTAAGTATAAGTTGCGATAACTCCTATCAAATAAAAGTAAAGCGAAAAATGAACTTACAACAGAGATTTTCCCAGCACTTGTTTTAAGGTAGGTATACAAAAGAGAATCTTTAACAGATTTGTTAGTCACTGAAATGATCAGTAAGATTGCAAATTGTTGTAGTAAAGTGTTGTGATGAAATAACCTGACTTCCCCATTCACCATAAATGGACGTTCCGGTGGCCGATAAAGTTCGACCACAGTAAACAGTCGAGAGCAGAGCGACAACAGAGAGCGACAACAAAGGTCTTCGTTGACTACACCATTGCGGTTAGCTTACTCCGTCTCTGTATTTTGACATTCCTACATTCCGATATAAAGTATTATTATTTAAACCACCACTCGGGTTTACTTTGTTATTATATCTTTTTGCGAGATATAACGACTGGTGACGAGATATAACAGTTGGCAATGAGGATTCGAAACTCACACGGAAAAACTTTTCGTACGCCTAACTATAACAGTTGGCGAACGAGGATTCGAAACGTTCACGGAAAAAAAAGAAAAACTTTTCGTATGCCTAACTATAACAGTTGGCGACGAAGGATTGTGCAACGTACTTACTTGAAAAAAAAAAAAAAATATATATATATATATACGCTGAATGGATGTTCGAAAGCGGAGTCACAAGTCAAAAGGAAACTTTTTGAAAAGTAAGAATTTTTACTTTAAATTGTGATTTGAAAAATATATATTGAACCGCGACTCAAATACGAGCTGGTCTAATAATAATTATTCAAGTAAAAATTACTGGTTGTAAAAATATTACGGCTGTAAGTTGTTTGCTGAGAGTTTAACTGTCTAAAAAAAAAAAAAAAAAAATTTTTTTTTTGTTTTGCCGAATTCTAAAATAAGGATGGAGCAATTAGTCGAAATGACTAAAATGCTGTGTACAAGCTTACAACAGCAACAACAACAGTATCAAGAGTTACAACAACAGCAACAACAACAGCATCTAGAGTTACAGCAACAAAAACAGCACCAAGACTTACAACAACAAATATTGCAACAGCAAAAAAGTCTCGAAAAAGTTTTGGAACAGGCGACTGGAGAAAGAAAAAATACTGTTTTTTCTGCCGAAGGAATAACAAATTCATTATCCGAATTTATTTATGATCCTGATTCAGGCATTACATTTCCAGCATACTTTAAACGTTTCGAAACTATATTTACCAAGAGATGTCAACATTGGTCGGATGAGGAACAAGTAACATTACTAGTACAGAAACTAGGGACAAAC